AAAAAAAAAACTATGCGACGTGAGTACTAGGAAAAGTAGTATTCGATAGGCACCAGTAAAAAATGAAAAGTATTCCCGAAGCTGTCTTCACAGCCAAAAGCCTATTGAAATAATGTCATTTAGTCACATACACACCACAGCATCTATCAAAACACTGCACAGCAGGGCAACGACTATTTAGCGATCGGGGAGAGGTCACAAACAAAATAGAAGCCAACGAACAAGGAAGCAAATCGGCTTTTATGAATGATTTATTACCTTGCGTTGTACCTAGCAAAATGTGACCCGTTTCGCCATCTTTATTGCATTCCGGATTCCACGCCACACTACTCAGTACACCCTAAACAGAAGCGGTAAGCCTGTAACTCTATGATAACTAAACAAGTAATCCAAATGCCTGGAAAGGCTTGCGATTTCGCGCATTCGAGCTGATCAAACCTCTGCAAAAGTATGAATACATATAGACTAACCTTGATCTTTTTTAGTGAGTAAGCAACGCCCGACTTCACTTGTACATAGAAGTTTTCACCCTGCTTTGTGGTAGCCAAGCAGTGTTGTCCCAGTGGAGAAAGGAAGATATTGGCAAGGGTATCAGCAGGTCCAACGGGGACCTTGATTTCTGAAAAACTGCGTTTAGTTCGAACATTCCGAGAAATTAATGGTCTGTAAGGTCAACATCATTGCCGTTCCTTGACAGGAAAGGATAAGATTACTGTAGTGATTAGTACACTGAGACGTTGGAAGTTGTGTTTTGCTTTGTTTGTTTGTTGTTTTGTGAAGAAGCAAAAACTCCCACTCCGGCCATGGGTAAGCTTCCCAGCATTTAGCACTGCGCTACGAAGCGCGCTCTAATGTACTGTGATCACGCATCAAAGAAGACTACAAGATTTTCTAAGACAAAAAAGTAAACTTACCAGTGGGTTTATTGTTCGTCGAAAGAGGCTGATGTAGCACAGTTCGTTCATCAATCACAGCAAACATATGGCCATTGCAGACCCGAACGGCAACAATAGAAACATGTCCTTGTAACCTAAATATGAATTAACGGGTGGTGTGCCGATTAGCTAATACTGGGTGAGCAATATGTTCTGACGCATTTGTAAGGTTGCAACTCAGCTAAAAAACAGCAGGAAGCTTATATTCGGGCGTAGTCTAGGAAGGCTCGTTTAGATCATATTTTTGATAGATCTGTTTCAATGCCGGAATCAGAATAAATGCGATCTAAAGGAGCCTTGTTAGACTGCATCGAAAAATCCTCTAATATCTGTCGAATTAAAGGTTAGTTGCCATAAAAATAGATAAATTTGAGACCTGCGCAGATAATTATCCAGAACTCATTGCATATCCGATATGTGACTGTTTCGAAGATGCGTCGACCAAAAATTAATATCACAGCAGTCACACAAGGCGCACCTTCTCTCTTTCTCTTTAAAAAACAAGACTTACTTCAAATCCCGCTTGAGATCTTGCTGAGATCTGACGAGAATTCCTAATTGTTGAGCTGACATTCCAGACCATACGGGGCTAGACTATCGACATCAAGCGAGACAATGTGTAACGATCCTGTAATAAAATAGGACACTTATATTCCAAACAAGAATACCTGCTAGACGATATGCGAAGCAGTGTCAAAAAAGTTCCTGAACCATCAGTCTAGTGAAATATTGAGCCTAAGAAACCTTTTGCCTATAAAGGAACAGCAGCATGATGATAGCGCAGCAGGGGCAAAGGTAGATTATGTTCAGGAGCTTACAAGGACAGCTCGATAATTCGGATAATCGTTCACTCACTTCGTTAAGTTTTCGTTCGGTAAGGCAACACATCGAATTCGCTTATTGAGACTCACTAACCACAGTTTTCAGGCAGTCTACACTTGTTACTGCCTGTTGATCTCATTTGAAACGAACTTCGATATGGATAAAGGAAGGTGTAGTAGCCCATGGGACAATATAGGCTTGCTCTTACGATTGGGGATGAGTCCATGAGGAAAAGTTCGAGAGAGACGAGTGAAAGCTAGTACAGCTACATAGCGGTTACTGTTGAAAAATTTTTGCTTCTCGCTTACTAGGTTTTATTGGCGATAAAAAATGCAAAGTAAAGAATAGTCATCTACTCTATGGATGTCAACGCTTTGAATGATACTCCAAGTTGTGGCAGCAATGATTTATTGAACATTATCCTAACATAAATACAAAAAGAGTAATAAACGGAGAATAAACGGACACTGATAAATGATGACTCAAATCTGTACATTCCTAAAAACATCTAAGATGGAAACAAGCGTCACGAGCTCAAGCATTCGGTCGCGGCCTGGTTCCGGACTTGCCCAGCTCAGGATTTCCTAACAGCTTGTTAAATCGCATGATAAGATCCGTGACTGGCATATTGTCAGTTTTGAAATGCAGCTTCTTTCCATTATCTGGAAACATATTAAAAAGGAATTTTTTACAATTTTGGAAAGGGTCAAAGCAGCCAAATATCAATAATCTCGGAGATGAGTGAGGGCTCCCCACGAAGACTCAATAATCAATAAAGAAAGAGAATCTACCGAGAACCGGCAGAGCAAAGGGCCCTCAGCATTGGGAAAATTGCATGTTAAAATCACTCCCACTATTGCAGTTACAGCCTTATCACGCATCATTCGAAGACGAGCTCCACATTGTGAAATAAACTAGCGCTTTTCTCAAGCACTTTTTTTGCACCTTACTTTTCTGACCACTATTTGCCCGTACAAGGACCCTAATACATACTACACAGCTTTCTAGATATTAATTATGAAGATGGCATTAAACAAAGCTACCTAAGGTGGCAATGAAGAATGGAGGTTTTCGATCGTTGCGCACTTCAGCTGATACCTTAAGGGTTGGGTTCGTCAACCGAACCTTCGGACTCATAATGCTGTGCCAAAATCTTCTGCAACAAAAGTTATCCAAGAATTTTCTGCATGAAAAGCTAAATACTGAGCTGTGAGGAGGAAAAAACCCACCTCTTACTTGTATGCCTGCTCAAATGGATTACCAAAAGCATACCTTATCGACTCGTTTCCGCTGTGAAATGGATCCAGTGAAATGTCGACTGACTTTACCCTCTTCAAATCCAGAGCACGCGCAGCAAGAGCGAAGCGTTCCGCAGGTTTCCATCGAACTCCATATCGAATGCGTTGCCACATTTGACACATCTGACGGTACGCAAGAGTAGATCCAGCCAAAACTGATGCAATTCATGAGATATTACAATGGCTTGTAAACCACTTGAATCAATCAAAAGTATCTCCTCAAGCTTTTATGTAAACATCATGCAATATAGATTTTGTGAATCACTACATCACGCAGAAAAATCACAAAGGCACGGGCAATCTCATCAGGGCTGAGTGTAACAGCTAATTTCAACAGGAACAAATAACAAGCAGTTTCTAGAACGTAGCAATCGAGAAAGTCATTGAGACGGTCGCCATTCCGACGCCAGCCGACAAATATAGTCTATGTTGGCATGCATTTGGTCAACTGTTTCAGACTGCAACTCATGGATAATTTCGTGTTTGTACGAGTCGCGTGCCTCTTCGAGCAGTGATCCGAAGATTTCGCATTCAATGTTCTCTTTGATCTGAAAAAGGGAAAGTCATGAACACGGAGGAGTGAATGGGATGCGGTGTAATAACCAAGACAGTTTATTGCAACAGTGCTTGTGGTTTTTGCCATTATCGAAGGGTGTTAGGACAGTACCTTCAATAGAGCTGTTTGCTAAAAGATCGCGACTTTGTCTATCGATGTGAAACGCCGAGTTAATGCAAATTACTAAATCGAACTGAAGCGGGATTAATGAGAGCGGCAACGCTTTGATAGTGATCATCTTGATATAGGATCTACTATTGTGCGACGAACTTGGGCCGGTTCTAATAGTAATAAGAAAGGTTGAGCTGACACGAGAAGTTGAGATAGGATTCAAAGCACCAGCGCATATAGGTACTGTAGCGGTGAATACAACCCATTGGCTCAAATACTATAAATGTTACGGAATGCCTAGAAGCTCACAACAGCACAGACCTAGGGATGAGAAAAGTGGAGCTACGAAACGTGCTATCAACTATGAAGGTTAAGAAAGACTGTGAGATAAGAAAGTAAAAAATTTTCGAAGAAGATTTCACCTTGGTAGGATCATATCCTCTTTGTGCGAGGCGATCATATAACAACGTATTCGAACATCGCAAGACAACAACTATGTCAAACCATCTTTCGGGGAAAAAGTCAACACCATGGTAATCTACTACAACACCACCTGCATCGCTATTCATTCGGTCCTGTAAAACATCCGATTTTAACTCAGAAATAAAACATCCGCACCACTTTACCTCCATATGGTCTAACAACTTCTCCTCGTCAAGTACATGACAATTGAGTCGTGGATCGAAATCTTCAACTAACCCATGTTCTCGGACTTCCTTTCCGACCTGTGAATGGAAGTGTTGCTGCATTAGTAAGTATTAATGTTAAAAGAAAGCCATTCATGTACAGAAACCTTCTTGAGAGCAAACCTAGCAATTTTTTCACACGTTTCACAGAAATAGACTACTTCCAGTAAACTATATAGCAGTTATCGGCTATATTGTGGAACAACGGAGATCCCGCCTTCTCCTACAGTTTTACTTTTCCACTCAATGGATCCATAAAGTAGTTGCAGAGAATTTCCAAATTGATTCTCTAGCGATACTGGTCTCAAATCCACATGAGTAGAACGTGGAAATATATTATGCGCACTGAGCAATGCCACCCCTTGACACTCTTTGCAACAAGCAGAAGTGCATATGCATGCATATATGCACATGCTGCTGGCGATACAACCTTTCTTTCATAAGTGGAACTAACGTTTTGCCAACCCGTCAGATATGCGATAAAAAGCTTTTGCAGCATTTGCTGCTTAGCAGCAGTCCTTTGTAGTAATGATTGCTATAGTCTCACGGCTCGAAAATCTATCATAATCAATTTTAAAATTCAATATGAACCTACGTCAATTGTGTCGAACTGTAATCGACTCGCCACTTCCTGTGCCAGCGTCGATTTGCCTGTGCCGGGAGTACCAGTGATCAGAATATTCGGTCTGCGCCGCGTTTCTGCTGACATCGGCTGCAGAATGTTAATTTTGAACATTTTGGTAATAATTGGCTATTACGAATAATACAACATTACGATATTTGAGTAGTTGATACACTGAAATGGCAGAAGAGTCATGTTTAAACGTTTTATTTTTGTTACAAAAAAGAGTGAAAAACGTCTTTAACGTAACAATCACGCGCGTACAACAATAAACAAGCACATGCAATATGATAAGTATACCGGCTTTCAATTCGAAATTATCTCAACAAACGCATGAAAGTAATGATAACATAAATCGAATATATTCGACGCAAAACATACACTAACAAGAACATACTGAACTAATACCCATATTTGACTTGTTTCGTTGCTGGTTTCTTGGTTTCATCAATTGTCAAATTCTGGATTGCGACAAGCGTTTCATTCACCTGAAATAAATGAGTAGCATTGCGTGACATACTTACCAGCTTACATTGAATGTGAGTGTAAAAGAGTGGCAGGAATACTTTTTCTAAAACACTAACGCTTGTCTGGGTCTCTCTCAGCGCCTCGATGTTGAGCAATCGGAGAATCCGCGCTACAGCGTTCACAGCACCATCTTTTTGATCAGGCACATCCAAAGGAAACGAGCGGAGCTCGAACGTGCTCTAGGTGACACCGGTTTCAACCAAAAAGACAATAACTATCGTGAGAAAACAGAAGAAATGTGATGCTTACAGGTATTTTTCCAGATTTGCGCTCAGCATTCCTCTCTTTGATAACATCTTCATTCAAATTGTCGCGTATGAAAATGCACGCCGCCTGAATAATGATATGCAGTAATTGAACTTGGATTTTGAAAAATGCATTCATTACGACGGTAGAGACTTTTTTCTAACTTCGAATCAATATCCGCCCAGGCCAACCAAGCCTTCCATCCCTCCAGGGTCGGTGAATTGGTACCAGACTCACATGGGAGGATAAAAGCACTGACTTGCACATCGGCTGGCCACCGCAAGTCATAGTATAGGCAAAAAACGCATTCATTACACCGCTACGATTCTGAATGGAAATTGAATGCGTGGGCGCATCCCCGGTTAGGATTGGTCAACGCCTCAATTCTTTATCGTTGGAGTAGCCTCTCTGGACATCGATGCCTTTCCCAACTTTCACGCTTTCCTTGAAAAAAATCCGGTGCCTCTGTTTGCTCGACCACATTCGTCCAGAAAGATGGTGAAGCACGGTAAAGGAGTTGGAGTTCGGAGTTGCTCAAGCATCTAGCGTAGAGTTCAGGAAACGCCTTAGGTATGCAGCAAAATGAATCTTAGATACAACCGAATTTTTTTACGAGAACATCAAAAAAGTGAAATCTTGAGATGAGCGGCCATGGGGGAGAAAAATGAGCTTTTCATCGTTAGAATTAAGTTTTTGATTGTAGAACCGTACCTTCAAGTTCACAACGGGATTGGAGTGCTCAACGATACCCAGCAACTGACATAGTTTCCTAGCCTTTTCAGCGAATTCCTCGGATGAATCTAAAAATACGTAACATGCATTGTTGAAATAAGATGGAACTTCGCAGAAATTAGCGTAAACAAGCAAGAATTTATCTTGAAGAAAAATAGAACCAACAGTCGATAAGGTTCAACGGGTTCTGCTTGTTTTGTGATTGAATAATACGTTCTTCTTCTTTTTCATGAAAACGAGCGCCAGTCATTTGTTGTGCAAGATCTGACAAAGTGTGAAATAAACAAAAGAGCAGCTCAGCAGTCCACAACGACATTGGATGCCAGTAAATTACCACTTTTATCATATTTCTTGCTAATGAGCACATCCAGAACAGCGTTTACTATGACACCACGAGGTTTGGATGCGTTTTCTCTAACACCAATGTCTGAGAGGAACTGAAAAATGGATTACAGCAAATCTAGCTGAAAACAGAGTAGAAGTGGACAAATTTTTCAAAACCGTCTTCTCCTTCAAGATGAAAATTCGGAGAAAAAAGCAGCCAACCTGGAACAGATCGGCAGACCACTTCGCCTCTTCTTCTTCAGCTTTCAATGCTTCCCACCACTTAGCAGATCTCTTTTTGAAATGAGAGCTATCCACTTCTTCGAAGAAATTCTTGTATTCCGTAGTGTCTGCAAAAATTTATTTTGAAAATCTTGCATAGTTATTCGTTTTGAATCATACCTTCGTAATCTATGAACGTCTTCTTGAACCCAAGTACCTTCAGTTTGCGGCTAGACATCTGGAAAAGCCTAATAGATTCAGGAAACGTTCCTCACGCCTAGAAGTTTTGGCATAAAAGCTGTGAAGGAGGTTCAAAAAACCCTTCAAAGCGATAAAAAATCTGGTCCTAGTCCCCCGCCTTCGAGTCGATACAGCCCCTGAAGGTTATAAATAATGAAAGCATAATATGAGTATAAGGGTTGTAACCCAATCTCTCTCATATTCAAAAGATCATAAATTATTTAAACAGACAACAACGAAAAAATAACAATGACAAAACTTTAAGAACATTTACAGCAAATACATGTATACAACAATGGCTTAAGCATTCTCAGTTCCAGTCTTCCATCCAAACTACATCAGCTCAGATTTAATCAGAAAGGCATTCACAGAGAAGTCGGTCACAAAGATTCACGGTATGAGCAAGCGCGGCTGAACGCGTTCATGTCAGACTGAAAAGGAGGACGTGAAGAGCGTTTAAGACTAGGAGTATGTCAGTCAATTCAACCTGAGGAGTTCATTGCTTGCTTTTTCCTCTCAAGTTTCTCACGTTTTTGTTCGAGGCTATCGCACGTTTTCCTGTCAGCGAATTTCACGTAACGTACAGGTAAGGGTCGATCCTGAAATGAGTTCTGTTATGCTCCATAGCAATCCGTGATGGCCAAAGCAGAATGAAAAGTGATTACGAGAGATTAGTGAATAGTATTATCGCCACCTGTGTAAACTCGTGTAGACCTTTATTTAGATCAATACCAGTACCAAACGGTGTATCCGTTAACGCATCAACCATATTTTCGATAAGTCTTGCTCTTAAGAAGTGGTGAGAAAACAACAATTCTTCCACAGTAACTGTGCCACTCACTTTGTTTGAAAATCTGCCCAGTCAGTTTGCAGATTAGCTACAGTCTTCTTCAAAGTGACGTCGTCAGTAATCCATTCAAGATTAGAGGAATCAAACCTTAAAGGTGATAACTGAACTAGTCAAATGAGTCATCGAATTAAGAGATCCTGAATGCAACCTCTAAATTTTCTTTGTATCCTGAAATTTTACTCGGGTGTCCTAGCATGTCTACTTGGTTTGTAAAGCTTACCTGCATTCATAGAGGCAAAGAGGAGTTGCAACAGCTAAAGCATAATGCGGACGACATGGATTCTTTTCAACATCGAGCAATTCAGATACGAGCTAAAGGGAACCAATAAGCGTTTAGAGATCAAGAAAAAAGTTAGACACCTCCGGCTGCTCGTTTCCTTGCCCGATTTCGTGTAGTACAGTAACGATGTAGCGGATCATGTGCCAAAGAAATCCACTTCCTTTAATGGTCAACTCTATCAAATCATTACGAGAGTGTGCATTCGCTGAGGAGCTGCAATACCAAAAAAGATATGACAAGCACTTTGATGTAGAGAGTTAAAGATGAAGAAAATAAAGACTTTTTGTCCTGTTTATGAAAAGAAAAGGAAGATTACTTCCATTACTGACAATGCCTTGCAAGATTAATGCTAATCTACTTGCCTAATTAACTCTATCCTGACTTCGAACAGTTCTCTTACGAAAGACATGGTGACACGCTTCTCATTCATATCGACCTGAAATATTAGCTAAATCAAACTTTATTTGACTAAAATGGAACAAAAATGAGACATGAAAGTACCTGACAGAAGTTCCTAAAATCATGTGTCCCAACAAGTAATGCGCCAGCGCGACGCATTGCCTGAACGCAGTGTGGTTAGATATAGTAGACGCACCAAATTCTCATTACCTCTATATCCAGATTGGCTCTTGGTAAGCTGTATTTATAAATCCGCATATTACATGCATGTCGAGCAGAAAAATCCCGTGGGACAGCAGCCCAACTGCAAAAAAGCAGGGTTAACGGTTCAGTGTAATCTCCATTGAAAAAGAAACGATAATGGAGATACTGCGAAATATGTATAGGATATATTGGGCGCTGTCAAGTCACAGCACTCGCAGCTAACGCTCAATACCACAGGAATGCGCAGGTAATTGAGATTTCCGAAACTCACGCAATAACGCTTATGTTTCTCGGCAGTACTCCGTTCAGCATCTTGAGGTATGAAAGCTCCTCCTTCTTTGGGTAGTTTTCAATTACACTTTTATCAGTTGATTCGGGCCAGAAAACGAACGCTCCGT